AATAAAGAGGTTGTGAATCCCTTCACGGCCACTTGCGAAAGTTAGATCTAATAGAGATAGTATGATAAGATAAATATATTTTTGGTATTTCATAATATAGATGCAAAAAGTAAAGATGCAAATAAAAGTAGATTGGAAGCAAATATGAGAAGAGATAGACCCGGGGCCATAGGTTTCACTAGTGGCTTCTCTCAAGATAGCATAAGTATTACGGTAGGTGAACAAATTACTGTCGAGCAATTGATAGAAAAGCGAATAATTATGAGATTATCTAGGCATGATCATGTATATAGGCATCACGTCCGAAACAAGTAGACCGACTCCTGCCTGCATCTACTACTATTACTCCACACATCGACCGACTCCTGCCTGCATCTAGAGTATTAAGTTCATAAGAACAGAGTAACGCATCAAGCAAGATGACATGATGTAGAGAGATAAAATCAAGCAATATGATATAAACCCCATCTTGTTATCCTCGATGGCAGCAATACAATACGTGCCTTGCAACCCTTTCTGTCATTGGGTAAGGACACCGCAAGATTGAACCCAAAGCTAAGCACTTCTCCCATGGCAAGAAAGATCAATCTAGTAGGCCAAACCAAACTGATAATTCGAAGAGACTTACAAAGATAACTCAATCATACGTAAAAGAATTCAGAGAAGATTCAAATATTATTCATAGATAAACCTGATCATAAACCCACAATTCATCGGATCTCGACAAACACACCGCAAAAAGAGTTTATATCGAATAGATCTCCACAAGAGAGGGGGAGAACATTGTATTGAGATTCAAAAAGAGAGAAGAAGCCATCTAGCTAATAACTATGGACCCGTAGGTTTGTGATAAACTATTCACAACTCATCGGAGGGGCTATGGTGTTGATGTAGAAGCCCTCCGTGGTCGATTCCCCCTCCGACACAGTGCCGACGAAGGCTCCAAGATGAGATCTCGCGGATACAGAAGGTTACGGTGGTGGAAATTGTGTTTTGTCTGCCCCTGGATGTTTTCGGGGTACGTAGGTATATATAGGAGGAAGAAGTACGTCGGTGGACGCCCGAGGGGCCCACGAGACGGGGGGCGCGCCCTATAGGGGGGGGGTGCCCTCCTATCTTGTGGGAGCCTCGGCTGCTTCTTGACTTGCACTCCAAGTCCTCTAGATCATGTTCGTTCCAAAAATCACGCTCCCAAAGGTTTCATTCCGTTTGGACTCCGTTTGATATTCCTTTTCTTCGAAATACTGAATATGCAAAAAAACAGCAATATGGGCTGGGCCTCCGGTTAGTAGGTTAGTCCAAAAAATGATATAAATGTGTAAAATAAAGCCCATAAACATCCAAAAGGGGTAATATAATAGCATGGAACAATCAAAAATTATAGATACGTTGGAGACGTATCAAGCATCCCCAAGCTTAATTCCTGCTCTTCCTCGAGTAGGTAAATGATAAAAACAGAATTTTTGATGTGGGATGCTACCTAGCATAATTCTTAATGTAATTTTCTTATTTGTGGCATGAATGTTCAGATCCAAATGATTCAAAATAAAAGTTCATATTGATAAAAGAAATAGTAACACTTCAAGCATACTAATCAAAGTAATCATGTCTTCTCAAAATAACATGGCAAAAGAAAGTTCATCCCTACAAAATCATATAGTTAGGCTATGCTTCATTTTCGTCACACAGAGATGTTCCCAACTTCTATACCCCCGATGACAAGCGAAGTAGTTGTTTCATACTTAAATAATCTCAAACTTTTTCAACCTTCACGCAATACATGAGCGTGAGCCAGGGATATAGCACTATGGGTGGAATAGAATATGATGATGGGGATTGTGTGGAGAAGACAAAAAAGGAGAAAGTCTCACATTGATGAGGATAATCAACGAGCTATGGAGATGCCCATCAATTGATGTCAACATGAGGAGTAGGGATTGCCATGCAACGGATGCACTAGAGCTATAAATGAATGCTCAACAAAAGAAAACTAGTGGGTGTGCATCCAACTTGCTTGCTCACGAAGACCTAGGGCATTTGAGGAAGCCCATTGTAGGAATATACAAGCCAAGTTCTATAATAAAAAATTCCCACTAGTATGAAAAAGACAACTTATGAGACTCACTATATGAAGAACAAGGTGCTACTTTCAAGCACAATAATATGAGACTCACTACATGAAGAACAAGGTGCTACTTTGAAGCACAAGTGTGGAAGAAGAGATAGTAACATTGCCCCTTTTATTTATTTTCTTTTTTTCTTTTTTCCTTCTTTTTTTTCTTTCTTTTCTTTTGGGCCTTTTTTTTGCCTTTCTTCCTTTTTTTCTCTTTTTTCTTTTCTTTTTGGGCAATGCTCTAATAATGATGATCATCACACTTCTATTGATTACAACATATGAATTACAACTCGAAACTAGAATAAGATATGACTTTATATGAATGCCTCCGGCGGAGTACCGGGATGGTGCAATGAATCAAGATTGACATGTATGAAAGATAATGCATGGTGGCTTTGCCACAAATACGATGTCAAATACATGATCGTGCAATGGCAATATGACAAAAGTAAAGTATGTCATGATGATGACGAACGGAACGGTGGAAAGTTGCATGGCAATATATCTCGGAATGACTATGAAAATGCTATAATAGGTAGGTATGGTGGCTGTTTTGAGGAAGATATAAGGAGGTTTATGTGTGGTAGAGCGTATCATATCACGGGGTTTGGATGCACCGGCGAAGTTTGCACCAACTCTCAAGGTGAGAAAGGGCAATGCACGGTACCGAAGAGGCTAGCAATGGCGGAAAGGTAAAAGTGCTTATAATCCATGGACTCAACATTAGTCAAAAGAATTCATATACTTATTGCAAAATTTAGAAGTCATCAAAAATCAAGTACTACGCGCATGCTCCTAGGGGGGATATATTGGTAGGAAAAACCATCGCTCGTCCCCGACCGCCACTCATAAAGATGCACAAGCCAGGTACACTTCATGTTTCAAATTTGTTACACAACTTTAACCATACGTGCATGCTACGGGACTTGCTAACTTCAACACAAGCATTCTTTAAATTCATAATCACCCAACTAGCATGACTTTAATATCACTACCTCCCTATCTCAAAACAATTATTAAGTATCAAATTGATCATAGCATCCAATTCACTTCCTATGATAGTTTTTATTATACCCAACTTGGATGCCTACCATTCTAGGACCAATTTTATAACGATAGGACCAATTTTACATATATCTTCTATATATAATAATTGGCCGAGCCCCTTTATGTTATTATAGTGAAATCTCCATTTGCACCCGACTGAAAATCTGAATTCATTCCAGTTGTTACATTCCATCAGCCTCGTCATTCTTGTAAAAGCTGAATTAATTTTATTTACACAGCAATGTGTTGTCATGTATAATCTCACATTATATGCTTTGTAGAATCAGTTTACTTGTCAGATTGTTGAGATATCATTTCCTGACTTCTGTTAAGCATTCAATGGATTGTCGATTATAAAATTATAAATTGCTAGTGCCGGATGTCCTGATTGTTTACCAAGTATATGCAAACCTTTCGTCCGCAGTGTAGGATATTCTGTTGAGAAATCAGACCATCATGTAAAATGTTTACGGGATTAATTGATGACATGTAGCATACTTGACTCCTCTTTAATGGTGGGTGTATCATTGTTCACAAGCATGCCATGTTTGTGATGCAGGGAGGTACCACTGAAGTTCAGAAACTACCTTCCTCATGATGAGCGACTTCGAGGTGGCAAGGTGGCTCCACCTTCTCTTTCCCAAGTTTGAAGATCTGATCGCTGCTGATGCTGCTGAGCCAAAGCAGCTGAAGGTAACATTTCCAGATCCATCAAATCTCACCTCCACGATTCTGTGACATATTTTCATCTTTCACGTCGCAAACTTACCTGCCATATTTATCTGCAGAACCCCTTCGGGAACATTGCTCCAAAGAACCCGAACTGGGACCTGAAACGGGACGTGCAGAAGAGGATCGACAAGCTGGAGAAGCGCACTCAGAAAGCCCTGGCGGAGATTGCATGTGAGTAGTAACTGGTAGATGTTTGGTTCAGTTAGTTTTGAGCTCAGTTTCCTGTTGTGCATTCCATTATTACTCACGTTGAACCACTCTGTTCCTGGGCAGTGGAGCAGCAAAAGGAGAAAGAGGCACTGGAGGAGGGGAGCGATGCAGCTCAAGAGTGACGTTGTACTAGTGGTGTTCCAAATATTTGCGTGGGACAAAGCAAGCAGCTGAATTCGAATCTTGATGTGTTTGTAATGCACTTGGTGTGGACTGATGACTAAACGGGGAGTAATGTAGCGAAAGTGTAGGCATGCTCACATGATCCACGGATAACGTTTTCCCAATCGGTACCCAGAATTTTGAGTTCTACTGATGGTTAGTGGTCGAATTAACCATGTTTCGTCTTATGGATTCGGAGCTAGCTAGTCATGATTTGCCTCATTGATCTGTCTTATTGACAGATGATTACTACTGACACATCTAAATGCTGGGCACATGCCAAGGAGCAACATTGATCTGAGGTGAGATCATGAACAATAACTACAGTACTTATAATCAACGAGTGCCCCCTTTATTGTTGAACTGAAGTAGAAGTCTGACAAGCTTCCATGGTTGATATATACCAGTAATCATAACAATTAGCAGAATGGCTCCCCTGTATCTAATTAGTACAAGATTTATGCAGAATACGTGGTAACAGCACTGCACATCAACTAACCACATATCACAATGAAGCCATGTATATATGTAAGCAGAAACCAAGCTACCGGCAGAGTATAGTTTAGTTTATTTTGACAAAAAGAAAATGCATGCTGTAACCAGCAATAAGAACAATCCACAAGTACAAAGCCTTTACACAAACAAACAAACCAGGGACTGGAAATGCTAGATTGAGCTAATGGTAGGTAAAAGAAAATGAAGGGAAATAAACAGAGACAATGTCGTCGACCCTTCAGGACGACCGCAGTAGTTGTTCCTCCAGCTTCACGACAGGTTGCATTGGATGACTGGCAAGATGGCTCGCAAACTCTGCTCTGAATGCTTCATCATCGGTACCCTTGAGCAAGACTTGCTTCAGTTCAGATAGACTATTCAGGCCGGCAAGCTTATATGATGTACTGCTCGAGTAGTCAATCGTGAGCAGCTCAAGATTGTTCATCGACCTTGATCCAAATGTAACTTGTAATTCGCTGGAGCTGCAAGCAATCTCGAGGATCTTCACCTTTTTGAATGTGACCAACTCCTCTCCATACATCTCGTCATAAAAATGGAGCTTATCATCCTGAAGCTGCTGTTTGACTCGAAGGCGTAGAACACATAGTTCTGGTAGCTGGGCAAGGAGCTCTATATCTCTTCGGTTTAGGTTGCCCATCTCCAAATCCAACTTTCTGAGCTTGCCAAGGTATTCAATTGATGCAGGTAATTTTTCTTGGAGCCCATATAGTTTAAGGCTACATAGGTGCGCTTGGTAAAGGAAGTTAACATCCAAGCAAGCTTGGCTGTTCTCATCGAGCCACACAGACAAGGATTCCAGTTGGCCAAGAGCTGACATTACGGAGAAGAACTCCTTACTGTTATGCTTGTTGATGCCGGACACGCCAAGTTTCCGCAAATGAATGAGCTTCTTTGGATCTTTCAGGAAAGCAGCTCCCCCTGCGGAAGCAGATATGTTGATAACACCAAGCGTCTGCAACGCTTCCAGTTTCTCAATCCCCCTAGGCACCATAACACCGGCTAGATGACGGCGCCTGCTGCAGAAGAAATGGGGGAAACAGTTGTATGATGAAACTATAGGTGACGGCATTGATGCCTGGACAACTGTGGTGCCACCAGCACGAATATACTGCAGCTTCTTTAGCTTCGTGGTACTTATTGGGAGGGTGACAATGGAGGTGCCCCTGACATCCAATGTCTGGAGGTTCCTGAGATCACCTAATGAACTTGGCAGATGGCAGATCTCACGGCATCCTCGTAGAGAGAGGAACTTTAGGTGATGGAGCAGCTTCACCATCTTGTCGAGATCAGCATCCCTTACATCTGATGCATCCTCCAGATCCAGCACCCGAAGAAGCTTCATACTCTCAGAGATGAAGAATGGTTCCCACTTTCCAAATACTGTTAGTGACCATAGCCGTGAGAAGTCGATGCTCTCATATGCAATGTTGTCCCTCTCCCAGCTTTTCAATATGACAAGGTGACGCCCTCTGCTTTGTGTGGTTAGGGTATGACCTCCTTCCAGCACAGAAACAAGGTTCTCTTCCATGCGCCGTGAGACGATGTACTCGTGAATGAAACTATTGACCTGGTAGAATCCACCCTTGTAGAATCAGCTATTTGTACCTGCTTGAATATGCTTAGTTCAACGAGCACGGAGAAGAAATTCTCCGCATTTTCTTCTGCATCTATGTACATAGTTTCCTTCGAGTAGCCCTCCGCGACCCACCTTCTTAATAGCCGCCGTCGTCGAATGGTTTCCTCTTGAGGAAAGATCGACAGGTAGAAGATACATGGCTTGAGGAAATCTGGAGGATTAAGTATGATGGAATGCATCCAGAGAAATACACTGTGTAGACTAGCAAACTCAGGGCGGATCTCAAGATGAAGCATAAATCTGTGATTCAAAGAACGTACAGTATCCATGAATGTGACAGTCTGCTTGGCAACTACCCCAGCTATGGCAGCTATTACTTTGGGTATACCTCCACACTTCAAAATGAGATCATGTAACTCCTCGAAATCGTGCTTCAGTAAAAAGGATGACGGATTATCCTTGGCTACCTGTTTGAATTATTCAAATGATTTGATTAGCTAGATTCAGTATGCCAATTAGCATGCATTAAGAGATCCATTATATTTTATTTATTTGATACAGAAGTGTTGATATTTTTTTCTATAACTTGGTAAAACCGAACAAAGTTTGACTAGAGACAATATTTAGGAAATCTATTTTCTGTGATAGAGGGAGTACCCTTATTTCTTTTTAAATAACGAAAAGGCCACCGGGTTCTGCATCCACTGATGCACATAGCCTTTTATTTGTTATAAAGTTTTAACATCCGAACATCCCATACATGATATTTGATAAATTTGCATGATAACACTCAGTGTAAGTTGGATGTTGATATTTCAGTTTGACAATGTAAATGTTTGAGCGGTCTACGAACACATGATACATGGATGCACCCGTTCAAGAGAATAATCGGAAGATTGCTACTCCATGCGATCAATATTAGTTGTGGCTAATTTAGTTCAACTTTAAATACAAAGTTGTACTAAATCAGCCACAACTAATATGGATCGGATGGAGTAGTAAATTAAGCTATGCATAGATATCCATCATATATGAACAGTAGGTGCTAATAAAGATACCACAAACATAAATGTGGGAACAACAATGTCATTACATTACACAGCCAGCATGACGATCCTGCTGTAACATTAAACAGGGGAAAAACTCATCCTGTTCCCCGATTGACCCCTAAGTAGTACTCCCTGTCACAAAAACCTGAGCCGGCCGGCCTCCCCAAACCGGCAACGGACGTCCGGGCTGACTGACACCCCTCATCCCAACCCAAGTATAGGGCGGATATGTGGAGGCTCGGACGCGCCTCGGCGCGCCTGCCACGTCAGACGGGCCCACCCTGGCTTACCCCGACCCCACATATATCCCCGCATCAGACGAACCATACACCGATGTCAAAGCTCACTCTCCACTCCACTTGTCTTTGTCTCCTCTCCCCATCCCATTTCCTTCCGATCTATGGCGAGTCACGGCAGCATCACAGCGCCCGGTGGCGAATTTGGCGTTGACGACAACTGGTAGTCACTAGTGAGTGACGCGGAGCCGGAGAATGTGGAGGAGCTCGCCCTCCACATTGCGTTGCGTCGGATGCGGATGGACTAGGTAGCAGCGAAAGCTCTGGTTCCGCGCCCGCCACCGCATTGTGGACGGCGGTGCTGAATCGTCGCATCCGCGTAGCCCTAGGCGCTCTGCCCCTCTCCGCCTTCTCTACCTGCTCAGAAGGGCGTCCCCAACCATAGTTGTCTCCATATGCCTGTGCCGGTGCCGATGCTGACGAGGGTGCCCCAATCGGATGTGTGGGTCGCACACTGCAAGCAGCAACGGGCGAGGGAGAGTGTGGCGGCGGGGGAAATGTTGTCCGTGCACCGGTGGATCCATAGGACTAGCTCCTCGCAACGGTCTTCCGAAGCGCCCTTGTGACGACGGAGACTGACGAGTATGGCTCCGTGAATATATATTCCAGGAATACTTTTCAAGAAAATTCTATGGATACAATTATAAAGTTTCCAATCCAAATATATAAGTTTATATTAGCTGCCGAAATTTCTTTTTTTTTACTAAGTACTACTCCCTCTGTAAAAAAAATATAAGAGCGTTTAGATCACTACTTTAGTGATGTAAACACTCTTATATTTCTTTACAGAGGGAGTACCTATTTGTGAATGGGACGGGATACTAGTCAGAAACTCCCTTAGGCTTTGTTCGGTTTGGGAGGGTTTGAAGAGGTTTGAAAGAGATTGAAGGGGATTAAATCCCTTGCAAGTCAAAATTCTTCTTAAACCTCGCCAATCCCCTTCAATCCCTGTGGCAAGGGGATTAACCGAACATAGCCTTAGAGAAAAGAAACTCGTAAACATACCTCTTTTCTGAAGAGATCAATGGCTGCATCAGCTTCTAGACATTTGACATTAAATATGAGCTCATGGTTATTTATGCAGTGCCGAGCGGTGGCTGCTTCAGTTGTAATCACTATGATAACGCTTGTAGAACGTCCAGACACCAAGGCAGCGTTTATCATGTCCGAGTCCTCTTTAGACCGGAGACCGTCGATGACAATAAGGCGTCGACACTCTTCAATGGGGTCTCTTTCTGGATCAGAATCCACAAGTAAGCTTCGAGAGAATCTTCTTAAATTGAACGGATATGATACATCCACCCAAGTGAACTTGTCAAATCGGTCGCTATGACACATTTTGTCAAAGTACAAGTGTCTGACTAGATATGATTTCCCGATGCCAGCCATTCCACACACGAACATAACTTTGGCGTTGTCCTTGCTGGGATGTCGTCCAGCAACACATTCACGAAGTTGTTTTTTTTGTGATTCACGTCCAACAAGGTGCTGACATCTCATCCAGTCTGCCGCTTCTCTCTTTTCCTCTTCAGATATTGAAATTTGGCTCCCTTCATGTGCCCGTGGTTCCTGTAGGCATGCGATGATAAATATTAGCACTCAGTGTTCAGGATGGAGCTAGAAGGGAGGCACATCTATAAGAACCTCCAGAGATTTTATTGGCCAACTTTCAATTAAAGCTTTCTGTGTGAATATGGCGATTTGGAGCTAGGCATAGCGAACACAGAAATTCAAAAATATTAAAGAATCTTCAAAAATGATTACACATGTGTATGTAGATGTATTCGACATATGTGTTAAATTTTATTAGTACCACACGCATCTCAAGGGGAACAATGAGTGGTGGAGAGGATGGCTTGGGGTAGTGATTAACATATAAACTGCACAAAAAAAGACAAAATTTTGGATTTCTAATATCAAGTAGTGAACACATTGTTTGATATTTTCCAATTTTTTTGTCTAAACATAAATATAAACATGTATTACATGAAAATAAATAGGTGCATATATAGATCTCATTCATCCATGTGTAAATGACTACTATTTTGTTTTAGAATCGGCCAATTTTAACTTCTATTTTCATATGGAAGATAAGAAGGTAAGAGTTAATCGGACCCACTACTTCATGAAATCAACGGCTTAGATCTACTATATACTCTTATCTCTCATGTGAAATAAAACCGCTCGTTCGTATTATCCACCGCTAATACTACATAAGTAGGTTTATTTTATACAATGTTTTTCAGTAGACATTATAAAAAAAATTATGTAGCAAGGATCATATTTAGTGGGCAATAGAGACGATTGTCCAAAGATATGATTAAAACGAGCTTTAAAGGGTAAAACAAGCAAAGGCTTTCTGATTAGTAATTTAGGCTTACCTTGAAGAGGGCACAAGCAGAGTGGTCATCTGAGAATTTTTTGAGCTCCAATATATCATAAAATTGGCCGAGGCACAAGCTTGCTATTTCAGGTTGTTGTGTGGAGAATATGATACAACTGCCATTCTTGGTGTCTGGAAGGAAAGCCCTGATAGTATCCCAATCCACTATGCTAGATAGGCCTTCCAAGACGATGAGGTACTTCTTCTCGAGTGTTAGCAGCTTGAACTCATTGAACAGATATTCCTGGGTGGCCTCCATCTTCGTTAGGACATGCATACCTCCGGTTGCAGCGTGTTCTTCTTTGCAAGAGTTTGCATAGAACTGAGCCATCAAGCTCCGGATGAATCTGTGGGGATTGAAGGGATGAATCAGCTTCACCCAGGCACGGTTGGGGAAGTGTTGACAGATATGTGAGTGGGTGAAGGTCTCCCTGATGATGGATGATGTCCCATGGTCGCTGGCTGACCCCCACAGAGAGATCACTTGAAGGTTGTTGTATTTCCTGTTGATCAATTGAGTGAGATCACCAAAGGCACCATCATGCCTCTTTGTGGCGTCTCTTGCCTCAGAGAGCATGTCGGATACCCCGGGTGCTGGCAGCTGTCGTTGATGTGTGACAACCGCCGACTTGGATGACCCTAAAGAGTCATTGATGAGGTTGTAGCGCCTGTAGCAGTTGTTGACGTCCTCCAGCCTGCCTTTGAGCTCCTCTATCTCCTCGACCGCCTGGTCCACTGGCAGGGGTTGTACCATGCAAGATGGCAGCAACCTGCGCCAGAAGATAGGCTTGTCATCCAGATCAACAACATTTTCGACGCAGTCTTCGACTTCGTAGGCGAGCTGACGAATATGCTTCACCCAGGTCCTCACGACACTACTCTTCATCTCCTCATTGGCGTCGTCAAGGCAGGATTGCATCATCTCGAATTCCAAAGTCATGGAGGCGAGATCACGCTTTACCTTTTGACGAAGCCTGTCATCCTCCTTGATTGCCGACTGGACCTTGATGATCGCCCCCACCACCACCGATTTGGCCAACCCAACCGCCAATCGGTCCGCCATGATGCTTGGCTACCCCTCTCTTTCTCCCCCCTTGGGTAGGTGTTTCTTCTTTCTTGTGTGGTAGCTAGAGGTCGATCAGGTGCTGGAATGAGCACCGGGAGAGATGGCATTCTTAAGGGACAAATACCACCCATGAACTACGCCGTTGACACAGTTAATTA